AGAGTTCTGGAGCAACGCTGGATTAGTGAGGGCGGGTAAATCCCTGGCTTTGCCGTGATGGATCGTTGCAGGGAAAAGTGGCACCGTCTGCTGCGGGAAGGGAAAGGAAACCTGCTGAGCGGTGCTGGAGCCGGGGGGGACGCCTGGGCTCCTGCTCTCAGGTCCAGGAGAAGAATAGGGTCAGAGCAGCATGATAAAACCCCACGTATAACGAGGCTTTGATTGAAGCACAGTAACCTTCTGCATAAAACTTATTTAAAAGTAAAAGCCAGTGCTTCCTACAGCGCTTACCTGGCGGGTGGGAGAGCCGGGCTCAGCCCGTGCGGCCGGGGGGCTCCTTGCTGGGCAGCTCCGTGCTGTTGGGGCGATGCCATCGCCCTCCTCGCCCGCCGGGAGGAAAGGGGCTCCCGGCAGGCTGCGACGCGGGGCAGGCGAGGGGCCGCGGCACCCCCGGAGCACCCCTTGGCAGGCAGTGGGATGGCTGATGCACTTGGGAAAAGGCAGCGCTCCAGGCTCTTCGTTATTGCTCCATGGTGATTGAGGCTGGCGGGGAGGAGGAGGTAAAAGTGAATGGAAAAGAACTGCCTGGAGTCTGGGGGTGTTGTCTGGGAGGAAGGAGAGGGGAACATGGCAGCAGCGACCCCCGAGAGGCTGGAAAGCCCATCCCTGCATGCTGGACACGGCGTCTCCCATCCAGCTCCTGTGGGAACCTACACCCCCTCCCAATTCCTCCCCTCCTGGGTCCCTTTGCAGGGCAGCTGCCGGGGGGACACCCAGACCCCCAACACCTTTGAGAGCCAGAGAGCTCGGACCCTACCCGCACAGTGCACCGTAAGGAGCCGGATTCATTGCGGCATGGCCAGGCAGGCGGCAGAGCGGAGTGTCGGCAAGGCAGGACAACTTGCCTGGAGCACCGGCACCACCGCCTGCTGTGCAAGCCAGCTCACAACGGGACAGCATCCAATAGGTACTGGATTCTTCCGCCCATGGCCAGTGGACCCAGCCAGCAAGGACCAGTGCAGACACTTGCTGCCAACTTCACCGCTGCTGGGACCCTCTGTAAAAGGCCCCGTTATCTATCTCTGACCAGGGTACAACCCTCGTCCTTGCCCCAGCCCCATCTCCGCTCATCTGCTCCATTCCTGTAGGCTGCTCCTCATCTTTCCTCCATCCCGAGCAGCCCTGCAGCCCTGCAAACACACACAACGGGAGCAGCAGATCTCAGAAACCCAAGTGGATCCTCTGCAGAGAAAGAGGCCAATTTAATCGCATCCAAGGGACTCCTGAAGGGGCTAACGCATCATAACCGGGTCATTCAGCACTGCGGCTCCAGGAGCACAGGTAGGACCTTTATCAGCAGACTGGACATTAGGACAAACAGGTAACCTTCAACAGGGGGGCGATTGCAGGCCAACAGTTTGGCATAGCCTGGTTTGCAGGTGAACTTTCTGCTGAGCTGGATCTACCGTTGAAAAAACATGGAGCAGCGCTCTATTCCCACAAGGACAGTTTTGAGCCTAGCCTAAACAGTCAAATGACTTGCAGGGCTGTCCCCAACCCACAGCTTTAGGGGCACCCAAGGCATCAGGGCTGACCAGAAAAGCAGGTTGATCCAGAATCATCGTTCCCAGCAACCCGCCCAGGCTCACCCTTGGACCAGGAGCCCTGCTCTGCTGCCAGCCTGCTTTTAGGTGCGCGCATGATGCCAGGAACCCTCTCTCCAGAGGTGACACAGCACTTAGGGCTACGTTCCTCTCTTTTCAAGCGGGAAAGGATTAATGTCAAACAAGGAGGAGGCTGTCAGCTGGCCCCCGATCGTCCCCGGGGGTAGGCAGCACTCCTGCACACCCGAGAGTGCCACGAGTCCAGCGGCATCTCCACAAAAGCTACCACACCAGCCTACCTTTAATACTTCTTTTTGAGAAAAGGAGCGAGCGTAGCAGGCTGACCACATTTTACATCTTGTGACAAGCAACTTCGCAACAACAGGCAGGATGACATTCAAGGAAAACTTAAAAGAGTGAACATTGTAATTTCAAAGACATGAAAACCAAAACAAAAACACAAACACAGCTATTTTTCCCCCAGAGCACTCTCGCTTTCAAGCTCAATAGCCTTGAAAATTGGAGCAATCAAACTGTTAAATGCATCGATCTGTTAAATCAACTCCTACTGTACTCAGCTAAATTTAGCCTTTAATCCCCTCTCTCTCACTCCCAGCACTGCAGATCCCAGGGCTTTCCCCAGCCAGGTCAACCGGCCTCCACCTTCCCACGACACCACGGACCGCTCCCTAAGCGAGCAGAGATGGAGATCACCAGGAGTGATTGTATTTAGGGGCAGGTTAAGCTTCTCCATCTTCCCCCGGCCCACAACTATCCACCATGTTCAAGTTGGTATGCTAGAGATGTGCACAAAGAGCCGCCTGGACATCGCTCTTCACCAGGGTCATCGTCACAGAACAGCCAGGGACCCCGTGTAGCTCTGCGTGTGCCTTCACCGGACACCACCATTTCAGTGAAAAGTAGCCCGAGCCTTGCGGAGTGCAGGCCATTCATTGCATTTATACTTGCCAATAGCATCCTCCTGCTCCTCTTTTCATCTTCAGGCTCATTTAGAAGCGGCTCAATGCAATCATAGTCGCAGCAAGACAAGGTTTCTGATGAGCCTTGTTCCCACGGCCCACGAGCGAGCGGTTCCCTGCGCCAGGACCGACGGATTTTACCAGGGACTTGTCGAGGGGATTAGAAATGGGGCGAACTGCATTATAACCCGAAACCACTGCTGAGCAACCGCGGGGCCTCGGGCACACCGCTCACTGTCATCTGCTCTTGTTTCCTTCTCATCCTTTTTTAGTCTTTAGCATCTCCATTAATCAAGGCGGTATCTCATTTTAGAGGCTGCTTAGTACCTGG